TCGGGATTCCAATACTTCCTCGCCAGTTTTAGCAACGATGATAAATGGCATCATCCTTGAAAAGTGGTTATAAACAATCTATACTAAGTGACATATAAATCCGAACACCCAGTTTAAATGGTTTTATTTTAATAAAATTTTGTATAAGTATTACTTAATGAAGCATAATAAGTAAATGATAAAAATTTCAAAATGATTGCACTGCTTTAAAGCCCTTTGACCTTTAATAATGTGTGGATGCACCCTGATGTGCTACGCATTCTCCAACGCGCCTAGGCATGCTTCTGATCAGGTGGTCAATGTCCTCCTGTGGTATCTCATTCCAGGCAACCACCAACTCCTCTCGAAGTGCTTCTAGAGTCTGAGAAGGACGTTGCAAGTTGAGCAATCTCCTACCCATCATATCCCACACGTGCTCAATTGGGGATAAGTTGGGAGATCTTGGTGGCCATGGTAATAATGTGACATCATTATGTTGAAAGAAGTCTCTTGTGACTCTTGCAACATGTGGCCGGGCATTATCTTGTTGGAAAGTTGGATCTGCCAGGGTGTCAAGATAGGGTAAAAGATGGGGTTCTAGAACTTCGTGGATATAACGCTGCGCGTTCATGTTACCTCTGATGAAGATTAAAGGTGACCTGGAACCATAAGCTATAGCACCCCAAACCATAACTCCAACAGTGTGATGAACATGTCTTTCAACAAAAAACTGTGGATTCCTCCTTTCACCACGTCGCCTTCTAACCCTGGCACGACCATCGTGCATGCCTAAACAAAATCGAGACTCGTCACTAAAGATAATACTGTTCCATTCCTGATCCCAGAGTGACCGTTGTCTGCACCACTCAAGGCGATTGCGTCGGTGTTCTCGAGTTAAAGGGAGGACCCAGTGTGGCCGTTATGAAAACAAGCCAAAACTTCGCATTCGTCGGTAAACACTTCGCATGCCAATAGGTCTTCCGTGTTCTGCAAACCATTCATTTGCAATGGACCTGGTAGTGGAGAAACGGTCCCTTAAGGCCAATAATCTTAGGCGGCGATCTTCACGGTCTGTTGTTCTACGGCGGCGTCCAGTGCCCCTTGCTCTTTGCGTACGGCCTTCTCGAAGCCATGCCTGACAACACCTAACCACAGTGTCTACACTTCTTTGCACTCTAACTGCAATTGCCCGAAAAGAAAGTCCAGCTTCCCGAAGTCCCACTATACGGCCCCTATCAAACCTACTAAGTTGACGAAATCGTACAGGTCTCCGTACTCTAGGCATCGTAACCGATCGTAAAGGATGTCAAGAACCAAAATCCGCCAACGTTGATTCTTTACTGCGGCTGAAATATTCATTTTTAGAGCGTTAGTGAATTAAAAAAAAAGCAGTATAAAAACCGGAATGTCCAACTGATATGGCTGAAAATCTTTTCACTTGTTATTTACAGTAAGATAAATACATTCACCAACTTTTATTAAAATAAAACCATTTAAACAGGGTGTTCGGATTTATATGTCACTTAGTATATTTGGACTGCCGAAAATGCACTTTTATCTAGGTGGTGAATACCCATTTATGAAAGCAGTGTTCAGCCTGTTGTGAAAAAGGTATCAAGTAGATTGACTCTACATTTCTCGGACAATAGCAGACGAACTTATGGTAACTGAGATGGTCATATGTCTACTTTGATACGAAATCGGTTACTGTTGAATTCCCAGTCGTTCTGCAGTGTGCAGTATCGTACGACAGTACTCTAGACCGTTAGACTTTACTCTTGGTGTAGCATTCCGTACTGTTTCTTGCAACTGTGAAAGCAATTAAATGAACTTTCCGTGAAGAAATTCCAGCGAATTGTATCTCTTTCTCTCTATTTTTTTTTCGGTTGTACAAGAGATTAACGTAATCACGACACCGTTTAGATGGATGTTGGAAGTCGCAAGATGAACGATATGCATGTCCTGTTTTGCAAATTAGGCCGAGAACTGTATTTTTATACAGTCGGAGAGTAAATGGGTTAGAGAAATTTCACGATGCAAATAAAATTAACGATTACTTTACGTCTGTCTATAATGATCAAACAGCTGATGAAAAAATGGGTCGTTTCTACTTGGATGTTAAATTAAATCCTACGTATAACTTCGGTTTGCATACTGTTGAGATATTAGAGACAATAAATCTTGACTTGAAATCTAATGCCAAACGGTCTGATAATAATAAAGCATAATAATAATAAAAAAGCATTTATTGCCCAACAGTACAGGTACCATTTAGAGAGCAATACATAGTACAATGGTTTAATTTTCACAGTTTGTGTGTCATAAAGTGACACAAAACAAACACACAGAAAAGAGGAAGGCGCTTTAAGTAGAGAAAAAAGAAACTATAAATATACTAAGTGACATATAAATCCGAACAGCCAGTTTAAATGGTTTTATTTTAATAAAATTTTGTAGAAGTACTTAATGAAGCATAATAAGTAAATGATAAAAATTTCAAAATGGTTGCACTGCTTTAAAGCCCTTTGACCTTTAATAATGTGTGGATGCACCCTGATGTGCTACGCATTCTCCAACGTGCCTAGGCATGCTTCTGATCAGGTGGTCAATGTCCTCCTGTGGTATCTCATTCGAGGCAACCACCAACTCCTCTCGAAGTGCTTCTAGAGTCTGAGGAGGACGTTGCAAATTGAGCAATCTCCTACTCATCATATCCCACACGTGCTCAATTGGGGATAAGTCGGGAGATCTTGGTGGCCATGGTAACAATGTGACATCATTATGTTGAAAGAAGTCTATTGTGACTCTTGCAACATGTGGTCGGGCATTATCTTGTTGGAAAGTTGGATCTGCCAGGGTGTCAAGACAGGGTAAAAGATGGGGTTCTAGAACTTCGTGGATATAACGCTGCGCGTTCATGTTACCTCTGATGAAGATTAAAGGTGTCCTGGAACCATAAGCTATAGCACCCCAAACCATAACTCCAACAGTGTGATGAACATGTCTTTCAACAAAAAACTGTGGATTCCTCCTTTCACCACGTCGCCTTCTAACCCTGGCACGACCATCGTGCATGCCTAAACAAAATCGAGACTCGTCACTAAAGACAATACTGTTCCATTCCTGATCCCAGAGTGACCGTTGTCTGCACCACTCAAGGCGATTACGTCGGTGTTCTCGAGTTAAAGGGAGGACCCAGTGTGGCCGGTATGAAAACAAGCCAAAACTTCTCATTCGTCGGTAAACACTTCGCATGCCAATAGGTCTTCCGTGTTCTGCAAACCATTCATTTGCAATGGACCTGGTAGTGGAGAAACGGTCCCTTAAGGCCAATAATTTTAGGCGGCGATCTTCACGGTCTGTTGTTCTACGGCGGCGTCCAGTGCCCCTTGCTCTTTGCGTACGGCCTTCTCGAAGCCATGCCTGACAACACCTAACCACAGTGTCTACACTTCTTTGCACTCTAACTGCAATTGCCCGAAAAGAAAGTCCAGCTTCCCGAAGTCCCACTATACGGCCCCTATCAAACTCACTAAGTTGACGAAATCGTACAGATCTCCGTACTCTAGGCATCATAACCGATCGTAAAGGATGTCGAGATCCAAAATCCGCCAACGTTGATTCTTTACTGCGGCTGAAATATTAATTTTTAGAGCGTTAGTGAATTAAAAAAAAGCAGTATAAAAACCGGAATATCGAACTGATAAGGCTGAAAATTTTTTCACTTGTTATTTACAGTAAGATAAATACATTCACCAACTTTTATTAAAATAAAACCATTTAAACTGGGTGTTCGGATTTATATGTCACTTAGAATAGTAAATGGTACAAATCTTGAAGTGGGAAGGGGCTCGTACATTTATTGTTTGTCTTCATATAAGTGAGCAGCTCTTATTAGATGGAATTCAGCAGCACGACCGTCGACATTGGTTGTACTAACTGCAAAAAGTTCTAAGCCAACTGAAGTATCTGATCTGAGACCAATAAGCTTGTTACCTATACTTTCAAAGATCTTTGAGAAAATATCAACATCACAGCTCACTACATACATAGAAAAAAATGGTATAATTCCTGATAGTCAGTTTGGCTTTAGGAAGAACCTATGGCTTTGCAGATGGGTGGTTGATTTTCTCTCTGACCGCAAGATATCCGTCATCCCACAACGTCAACGCGGGTGTTGCCCAGGGATCGGTCCTGGCTCCGACACTGTTCCACGTACATATCAACGACCTCCTTTCCTTACCATCAATCCAATCTCTGTCGGTGAGGATCAGGAATCTTTCTTAACTTCAATATCCATCGACGTTTATCAGAGGATTGTACAGTACTTCCTCGGCAGTGAAACATTTTTTTCAAACCTTGACACCATATACCTTGAAAACTAGACTTCTTGGGACCCATGTTTCAAAAAATGAAGCTTATTGTTTTTGTACTACATTTATTGTCTTCATATAAGTGAGCAGCTCTTATTTAATGGAATTCAGCAGAATGACCGTCGATATGATTGATGCAAAGCCCAAAAACAGACGCTTCAATCATTTTTACTTCGAGTTTCCAATCCTTATAAATCGTAATGGGATCAGATAGAACATTCGTGGTTTGCTGGGAAACAAAGCAAAGTGCGGATAGCTCTTTCGCAATTCGTATAAAATTCCGTATTTTTTACGGTTTGATACCTTCACCGCTGCAAAATCATTAAAAAGCGAACAGCAAATAGTAGAACAATCATATTTGGTGTATTCACGGTGGTTGAGCACTATTGACGATAACAACGCTGATTTCTCGTTTCGTCTGTTTCGACTTGGTTTCGACCTCTGTTCTCGTCAGCACAACATGTACAAATGGTTGAACGAGATTATGCCCGTATTTTTATCCATTCCAAGTCATCTAAAGCTTTGTGATGACCAAAGCTAAGTTCAAAGTTTTATAAAAGTATTGCTGTACGGTCGTTGAAATTTATACCGAAAAATTGGCAATATTCATAGATGGTCCTGATCTTGTTCTCGTATTTTCATTGACAGGATTTGATCAGTATCGATTTCCTAACAAGGAAAGAGAAACAATCGTAATATTGAAATTATGAAACTAGCAAACGTCACCGTTATAATTTTGATTGCTAGTGTATATGCATTGTTGCAAAAGCTTAATTGAACGTTATCTGTTCGAATTTCTTTTTTTAATAGAGATTACAGGAGCTATTGCAATAGGAATATGTACATAATAAATGTATTTTTTGCTCATTCTAAATTTCTTGACGAGGAGAGATTTCTTTTTAAGCAATCTGTATCCGATTGTAAAACATTGATGTCTAGGTCGCCAGCAGAATGTTGCTAGTTAAAAGATATACGAGCCCCTTCCCACTTCAAGATTTGTACCAAAATATGCCTTTATCAACTAAACATGACGAAACTATTTACTTCTAAAACAATTTATTTTCTCAAAAACATTTCCTTCACCTTTATTTTTTATTACGGCTGAAATTCTTTGGGGCATAGTGATAACCAAGTTTCTTGAAGCTTTTGTCTCAGTTCGGTTATTGTACGAACACGATGTTGTCGTAGAACCTTTTTAATCTCGTGCCACAAAGTTTCAATAGGTGACAAATCTGGACTGCTAGAAACCCATTTCAAAAGTGGTACATTATTTTCTTCCATCCATTTTATAGGCTTTTTTGAGGTATGGCACGCTGCACCATCTTGCTGAACCACAAAATCTTGGCCGGATGTCAAACATTCTTCCATCACTTGTAAAAGCGATTCTTCTAAAATTGACAAATATTTGTTTGTATCCACATTTACATCAATAAAATGAAGTTTTCCTACTCCTTCCAACAGCGTCACTCCACAGAGCACTTAATTGTAAATAATTGGCACGCTTGTTTTTCACGATTATTCTTCTTAATGCTCATCGGTCGGCATTTGTGATATTACTTTTTTTCACATATCGTGGCTTAATATTAACTGAACCAGTTACGTTATATCTTCTAACAATATTTCTCACACCGTACCGCGATAAGTCTAACAAAATTGCAATTTCTGAGTTTGATTTCCCAGAATTAAAAAAATTAATTATCAGTAACCGAATTTTCTCACTAATAACCTTTCCTCTACCCATTTTGAAAACCTTAACTACCCAAAACTATTTTAAACGTATTCGGACAGCTGTGATTAATAAAAACGATTGTCATGGCTTTTATTTTTCACAGCCACCTATGCGTTATAGACTTATTTTGCATTGAAATGAAAATAGGTTGATATGCTGTAATTGCAACATGTGTTATTTTTATGCTGCAAATTTGATTAGGGAGTGATAAAGTTGGTGTTTTCTAATATATATTATCAAAATATTCATTGTTAATATTTTAAACCTATAACACCCTGCTACATTTTTATTATTTATGTTTGATAAGAAAAAAATCTAAGATTTCAATAGTTGGGCCAACGTAAGTGGGAAGGGGCTTGTAATCCTTCAGTAGAAAACCTTGATTGATTGATAGATCTTTCAAATAGAATGTGTTGTAAATGAGAAAAAGTGGCTATAAAAATTATTATTATTATTATGATAATTGAGATGAGCAGAGTACACAGTACTATAGGCTCATGCAGTAAATATAGTGTACGGACACGTAACACAAATACATCAAATAGACAAAAATAAAAAAAGACAGTTCATAGCTATAAAGTTTGTACACTCCTCCAGCTATCATACTGCACTTTGAAGCTATTAACTGAAGTAGCACCAATCACACTTTCAGGTAAACTATTCCAGGTGTTGAATATGCGGTTGGGAAGAAACCACTGTCGGACTGTTGTTTTAAATGGCTCCTTATGCAGTTTGAAGCTGTGTCCGTGTAGATTGCTGCGCGACAGACGGTATAGATGCATGAGGTTGCACAGTATCCCATACCGGGCCAGCGAATTCAAGAATTGGCCTCACGAATGCCTTATAAATGTAGGCGCAAGTGTTGACATCGGATCCTTTGAAAGACCTCTCCAGCATGTATAGAAGTTTCTTGGCTTTTGATGTAACGTGGTGAATATGCTCTGACCAGGAAAGACGATCGTTGACTACAACGCCCAGATCAGTGTGGCTGGAAACTGCTTCGATGTTGTGGTCAGAGATCTTGTATGTAAATCGCGGATTTGTCTTCCCGAGGTGAAGGACACAACACTTAGTTAGATTTAAGGGTAAAAGCCAACTGACTGACCATTGACAAACAATATCAAGATCTCGTTGAAGCATAGCAGAATTTACGACAGTATTGTAAATCTTGGTGTCGTCGGCATAAGCTGAACATGTGGAGGAAATCAATGCGGGCAGGTCACTTGTATACAGAAGGGACAGCACTGGCCCCAAGACAGAGCCTTGAGGAACTCCACTTGCTACATGATGAAGGTGAGACTGGCTATCACTGACGCGCACAGAGAAAGTCCTCCCGGTGAGAAAAGCCTTAATCCACAGTAACAACTCGCCTCTTATTCCCATACATTCCAACTTAAACAGAAGCCTTCTATGTGGTACGCTATCGAAAGCCCTAGAAAAATCTAGGTAGATTATATCAACAGGAGTCTTTGTGTCCAGCTACTGAGTACAATCGTTGAGACAGTGGAGAAGGTTGGTCGTTATTGATCGACCAGGGAGAAATCCATGCTGCTTATCTAATATGATTCTTTCAACTATTTTGGCGGCGATAGGAACGAGACTTATTGGTCGATAATTTTTAGCGGAGGATTTGTCGCCCTTTTTGAATACAGGGGTAACAGAAGCACTAAGCCAGCATGAGGGTAGGGTATGAGATCTAAAAGACGATGTGAATATCAAGCTTAATGGTAGGGCCAGTGCTGAAGCGCAGTTTTTAAGTACAGCAGTCGTCATCCCATCTTTACCAGGGGAGGAAGACATCTTCAGATTTCGCAGGTGCATTAATACATCTTCAGGCAGGAACTCAACTTCGCAAAGGCTGTTGGGGCACCTATGGCAGATAGTGGTCGGTAGAAGGTCTCCATTAGGCTCATCGACGAAGTCATCACTAATTTATTTTGAAATCCCATCTCAAATAAAGCCAGGAAAGAAAAATAAAAATGATTTTGGGATAAATCTTGAATTTTGAAGCAAATCACTATCTGATAATTTCAAAGCCTATTTAGAAAATTGTTTTCTTTTGAAATAATCAATGTATGACATACATTTTTGGAATCAGAATTAAACACTATTTATCTGTGCAAACATCCAATAAGGCGTCATTGAGGAAAAATGAAGTTGATGCCGGAGGACAAGACACGAAACGTCGTATTGAAATTATGATTGTCATCCTATAGAGGAGCAACAGTGCTGAAAGATTAAAACGCTTTTGAAAAAATCGTTTTCTCCGTCTGTCTGCGGAAGTACTTTGAATTTCGAAACTTTCTAAGTGGCGCGTTGGTTACCGAATTTAGAACACCCGGTAGACGTGTAAAGAAGTGTTTTTTTTCAAATTGCCAACGCACATCGAATAAACTTCGCACGTGAGATGGAAGCACTTATCGAGCAAAATAAGAACCTTATCAAAAACAATAATCACATGCCTGGTGTGATTTTCCACACTTAATTGTGACAAACGCAAATAAATTTGTTTTTGAGTTAAAATTACCGATTTTGTGATTTTTTGAAAACCGTCCGACCTTTGTGCTGGATCTTGTATTAAGAAATTATATTATAATTTTATGATAGTACTAGATTCCCATTGGTCAATTGACTTACGCCTGTCCAGCTGCCTTACAGTACATGGACCTCGATGGGACTTAAATGCTGCGACCTTGGCTCGTAACTTCTCCAATATAAAATATAGACAGTACACAGACTCGCATAGTTTTCATTCCACATAAAATGCACAAACAAAAGACAATTACAATCATCTGCATACAATCGCCATTATTTTTAACTCTTATCGCTCACATTTATATGCAATCTATTTCATGGCGAATTGAATTACTGAGGCTTATTTCGTATTTGGAATTCGGTATTGTCATGCTTTTGGTAGGTTGTGCCTGTTTTGTGCGAAAATGACAATTGATGGATTTTTGAATCGCATCTAAAAATAAGATCGCCCTTCTAGTCTAAGCATATTAGCAAATTTCTCCGAAATAATTGTAAAGTCTGGTTTTATTGCAAGTTGGCAAAATTGTTATGGTCGACAAACGAAGCACAACGCAGGTTTTGGCACTTGTTTTTAATGAGACGTTATTTTCACCCAACTACCTGAAATTTTTCAAATCCGTAGGATTCGTACTTCGAAATAACAACAACAAAATTGGATTATATTGGTCCAGTAGTTTTTTGAGAATTTCTAATTGTTTATCCCAAAACACCTGTTTTCCGGCCATCACTACTAGTTTATTGAGAAATATACAGGGCTCGTTTAAAGAGCATTTAATAGCAAAATACACGTGTTTACCTTGCCGATATGAATCACAAACCATTCCGAAAGATAAATGTTATTTTTATGCGAAAAATAAAGGTTACGTTTTTCCTTCTAAACAAATTCAAACATTTCGAATTTGTGAGTAGTTTAACAACACATTTTAAAACAAAGCGGATGTGCCTATCCTCTTTTGTTGCGAATTACTCACAAATACGAAATGTTTGAATTTGTTTAGGAGAAAAAACGTAACCCATCCATTTTTGCATAAAAATAACATTTATCTGGTTTGCGATTCAAATCGAAAAGGTAAACTAGAGTATTTTGCTATAAAATGCCCTTTGAACTAACGCTGTATATTACTCAATAAACTAGTAGTGATGGCCGGAAAACAGGTGTTTTGGGATAAACAATTAGAATTTCTCAAAAACTACTTGGACCAATCTATGCCAATTTTGTTGTGGTTATTTAGAAATACGAATCCTACCAATTTGAAGAATTTTAAACATCTGCGAGAAACCATCGTCGCATTACCGACAAGTTCCAAAAACTGCAGTTTACCTCGGTTTAATTAATTTTATCAACTAATTTGTATTCTTCTATTCAAAATAAATTTCTTCATATGTCTTTCATCATATGATAGCTTTTTTTGTGGATCGAGATAGAGCATTGTAAAAAATAATTGCGTTGTAGGTGAAGCATTTACGAAACAATGATGTCCTGTGGAGGGGCATTGTGAGTGTTTCAGTGAATCGAATGTCCCTAGAATGGATATTATTTCTAGATATCAGCTTATTTCTCAAAAACGGCGGAATGGATGATAGCAAAAGCCTGTGGGTGTAAGTAACTAAGTATAGCTCACACAGTTCATCTACTCTCAACCACTTCATGTCATTGAAAAAAGGGCTGAATGATCATATTTTTTCAAATCATTGATCAACCCACAACATGAGTTTTGGATTTTTGGAGACGTGCTAGAGATATTGAGTCAAGAAATGGAAGATAAACTAAATCACCATAACTAATTTTGGACATTACCAACGATTCACACAAAATTTTTTTAGTTGCAAAGTCAAGAAATTGTTTATTAAGATATAATTCACGCAAAATTGAAAAACAACTCTTACTGATGTTATTTACATGTGGTATAAAATTTAAACATTCATAGAAAGTTACGCCCAACTTTTTCACTGATTCACTTACTTCTATAGTCTCACCATTTAATTTTACTTTAAAATTTCTTTTGGCATCACTTCTAGTTAGTTTTGGTGAGATAATGAACTTTCGATTTCAAAGGGTTCAACTGAAGGTTATGCATACATACTAATAGATGTTATATCTTCATTTACCTCGGATTCAGCATTTCGAATGTCGTGATTATGGAAATGACTGTAGACCTGTGAATCGTCGGCAAAGAATTGGATATAACAATATTTAACAACTGAGTGTAGATCAGAAATATACAAAATGAATAGGAGTGGCCCAAGTACAGACCCTTGCGGCACTCCGGAGGAAATGAGACAGTTTTAAGATAGAACCATGTCATGATATCGATTTCCTAAGAAGCTCTGAATCATTTTTGAGGCCGAATCAGAAAAACCAAAATATTTACACTTGGTTACTAGAAGACGATGATTTACGGTATCGAATGCCTTAGAGAAGTCAAGAAGAATTAATGATGTGATCATATGTTGATCCCAGGCTCTAACAATGTTATCGGCTAAGTCTAATAGGGCACCTGCAGTGTTATATGCTTTTCGATAACCGCATTGTTTGGGAGGCAAAAATTTATGTTTAGAGAGGTAATCCTAAATTTGGGCGTACATTGCTTTTTCTAATAATTTGGACAAAAAAGGTAAAATACTAATTGGTCTTAAATCAGAATATAATTTTGGTTTAGTTATTTTAGCTAGAGGTAACACTAATGCTTATTTCCATGATTCTGGGAAGAATAAAGCATAGTTTTAGCATTCTGAGTGACACGCCATCACTCCCCGAGGCATTCGATTTCAGAGACTGGAACATCGATTTTAAATCAGTCATGTCGATTCGTATAAACTTGAATCGATCACTAGAGTAGTTATTTTTTTCATAATGCTCAATCTTCTCTGTGCATGAACAAATGGCGTTATTAAAAATGGAACATAAATAATTATTAATGTCAGTAGGGTTCTTTAAATGTGGAGGAATATCGGTATTTTGTGACTGTTGGATACGCATTTATTTTAATGATCTATAAAACATTTTTGTATCATTTTGTTTACGGAGGCTTTTTCATATCTAATTTGACTTAAAGTTGAATTTCTGAGCTCTTTGTAGCGATTCCACGAATCTTCTGTCTTATTAATTTTAAACTGATTTAAAGCGAAATTAGTCGGATCCTTTTACGTGTGGTCTCATCTTGTAGGTCTCATGAATATCTAAAAATCTTATATGATGAGTTTTTCGTTCCTGCCAACACTTTCGATTGAATCCCAAAAAACACGTTTTCCCATTATTTGTTGTTGAATAAAAAGTTTTTCCACAAAAAGTGCGTCATGTTTTAAATACCCCCTCGAATATGATTAGACTATTCATAGTCGTGGTAATCAAGCGTTACCATTTATTCTACAGACTATAACAAAAGTTTGGATCGCATCAAATATCTGACAAACTACACATTTATTTTTTTTTTAAATTTGGTAGGTTTAGGTTCGAAACCCCGCCGGATCCGTTGATGATATCCGCGATGTTGCCGAATCTACAGTTTTTCAGAAACTGATGGCAGCTTTGTATTCTGCGAGAAATTCTAAATACTTTTTATTAAAGATACTTTGACGTAGGCATCATAGTTTTCGGAGCAACAATAAAAGGTGTTTTTTCACGTAAGCAATGACCGGTAAGAATCCATTGAGTTTCGTTGGTACAGTTAATAAAAATATGATTTATTTATTAATTAATAATCCAATTTTGTCCAGTGATATGCAATAAAACTGTTTTTAAATTTTTTTTCTTGAAAACGAAGTGAGATACGAAAAAAATACAAAGCAGTTGCATTATTAGACGCTCAATCAAACATCAAATATTTAAGTTGTTGATACAACAAATAATATTTCAACAGAATCGTGTAAATTATTTTTGTAATACATTAATAATTTTTTTTTAAATTTATCACCCTGTATCTTAAAAACTCCGCATTTCCGGACCAATGTTTATAGAGACTTTTTCCTTTTTTTTACAAGGAATTACTATCTAAAATATCTTCGTCTATTTTTCAGACACATCGAAGAAACAAACTATTGATATCCGGTCTAAATAAAAAATTTCTGATATCAGACAGTTTTAAGGTGTGACATTAGATTTGTTTTCTTTTGTTTCAGCCTGGTGAAGGAGGTATCATCCTTCTGACCAGCGTGATAGACAGCTTTAGGGATGACGAAGAAGAAGAGATCCTGCGATCTTTAGAGTGTCCGCCTAGTCCATGTGACGTCTCGTTCATCAACGATAACATCCTCATCGACGGTAGATCCAGTTTTAGCCAAAAATCAAGAACCAGCGTCAAGGTGAGGCATTGAATATACAGGGCGACGGAATATTAAAATCTATTTATGGCATGTTATACATGACATTTGAGGGCACATTTATAAAATATTGGCAATCATACAGGGTGTCCCAATTTTGACCTACATATCAAAGTTGCGATTGTTTAAATGGATTGGGTCAAATTTTATTGGATATTTGAATAAACCAATTCAAAAGAAGAAGATTGATATAACATACTATGGGGTTTTGGTAATTGGCTAAGTTGTTTTGTCCAGAAAAACCGTCCACTTCGGCAACCCCTCGATCCGCCATTTTGGAATTTGGGGTACTGAATTTTGTATAAAAAAAACTAACACACCTCAGCTTTTATCTTATTTGTTACTTTTTAAAATACAGGGTGGTCAAAAACGCGAATAGTACCTACTTTTTCTCAAAAATTTCAAATGTATCACCCTGTATATTTGTGCAAGTTTGGATTCAATTTTTTATAAGCTTTTTTTTTGGTATCAGGTTTGATTCAGACAAAATCACTAGATTTTGAGTTATTAAGCTTTTAATAGAACAACACACCAAAATTAAGGAAAACATCACATCATCCATGGAAACAAAAGACAAACAGTGGGCTAGTTCTATATTGCCACTAAGAATTGACGTAAAAATTAATAACTATCAGAACAGTATAAATCATCTTCAAGCGTAATAGAGAAAAACAACAACATGAAGAAACAACTATCGGTACTCATGACCTAATCTACAAAAACTGCTCGAAAATATCTCCACCATGTTGAATACACAGCCGTAGTCTTTGGATAAATGACCGTTGCACATCCCTCAGCATGTGTTCCCTTACGTTCAGAAAAGCATCTTCAATCATTTCCTTCAAATTTTCCGGGGTAGATGGTGGATATTTATAAACCTCTTGCTCAACGTAGTCCCATAGAAAGAAGTCTGTCGGCGTCATATCTGGTGATCTAGGAGGCCAAGATATTGGTGCATTACGATCGCATTACTCCAGGTGTCCAAATAGTTACGCACACGATTAAATGGGGATTTTCCTGCAACTTTAATAGAACCTCCAACTGATTCGCCTCATTGGTGACACTTGGTTTATTTACTATATTCCACTGCTCCACATGATTCAAAACGTTCTCATAGTGTGGAAAATGTTTCCCGCTTTGGATGTCGCTTATTAGGGTACCGTTGCTTATAAATGCGAGTTGCTAGGAAACTATATTCACTATTTCTTCTTTAGAAAAATTCATTTTCAAACACGTTTTTATTATAATGCTCACAAAGCTAATTTTGACAGTTTGTAACTAATCAATAATTTATTTGTTACCAAGGATAATGCCATATTTTAGGGAATTAAGCCGTTCCAGAAAAGACGTGCTAATAACCGAAAAAATAGCCGTAAATACCCTTATGTGTCTAGAATAAAAAAGGTCTTAAAAAATTGAATCCAAACTTGCACAGATATACAGGGTGATGCATTGTAAATTTTTGAGAAAAACTACAATTTGTTTTTGACCACCCTGTATGAGCAAACATTACAATTTGAAAAAGTAACAAATAAGATAAAAGCTGAGGTGTGTAAGTTTTTTTTTGATACAAAATTCAACACTCCAAATTGCAAAACACCTTATATCTCAGTAGCTAAATACCAAAACCCCATAGTATGTTATATCAATTTTCTTCTTTTGAATTGGTTTATCCAAATATGCAATAAAATTTGAGGCATGCCATTTGAAAAATCACAACTTTGATATGTAAGTCGAAATTGGGACACCCTGTAGAATGGCCAGTATTTTAGAAATTTGCCCTAAAATGTCATATATAACATCCCATAAATAGATTTTCCCAAAATGTATTTGTTTATCATATCAATTCTCAATTCGGTTTTCGTATTGCACGTTTTTTTTATTATTACTACTATTCTTATATTATCGAAGTAATACTTGACTAGAAATAATACAGGTAGGTAGTCTGTAATTTTTCAGCACATCGCGAAGCACCTCCCCGCGCTCTTCATGTTTTAATGGGGAAAAAAGCTTAGTTATTTCTTTTTAGTGTTAAGAAGTATTTTTCTCCACATAAGCTCATTCTGTACAAGGACAAGATAAGGCCTAGCCTCGATTACTGCTCACATGTTTGGGGTGCTGCCACCCCGACTACATTGTTCATGATCGATGCTGTTCAGAGAAGGGCTGTCCGACTGATCGACGACTCTCCACTAACGATTTACAAAAAAAAAACTATCACCCCGATATTTAGGTAGTAAACAGTTTTACGATTTCCCATATCGAAATACCGGCGTTTTCACATATTCCGTTAAAAAAGAACAAAGAAAGAGGATGTGCGAAGCGAACAATAAACTCTCTATCATTAATTTGATATGTATTTATGATTTTCAACGGATAACGGTAGTGTGCCGCTATTGTTCGTCTAAAATTTGGACATTTCGTTGTAACCTTGACTCTGCGATCTTTGCGAAAGCTCGTGTTTTAAAACTTCGTTGTCGATGCGATGTTGGGCAATGAATTTTAATAACGTTAAAATATAAAATCATGGGATATGGGTTCAAGGTTGAAAGTTTACGGTCTGGCGGAAAAGGAAGGTGTTTTAATATTGAGGTCGATTATGTAGAAAAAAAGCTGTCAGATTCAGACAATAGAATATTGTAGCGCTTTGCTGGGTTCTCTTGGGTGTGGATTAAAAACACTCGATTCCACAAGAAGAAATGCACTAATTTATTTAAAACACAACAGAACTAACTTTAACTTAACTAGACAGAACCTTTATGTCCACCACTATTTATGTCTGACTACTTATTTACGAATTATTGTCGCCATTCACTCATTCTGCATCGTTAGTTCGAGAAAGTTCCGGTGAGCCACATAGCGGCACTCCAGAATCTTTGAGGTCACTTCACGTCGATCCCGAAGGAGAGTCCTGGCGCGGTTCGCAACAGATGGCGCTGGTAGTTCTATTCATTCTTGTTACAATATGCTTAACGCAACAAACGTTTCAAGTTATAATTACGTCAAATCGACAACAGAATACGTTAAAAAGATTGCATGACAAATTTAAAGAAGTGACCCCCAATTTTTGAATAACGTAATCACAGGTGACGAGTCGTGGATCCCGAGACAAAGAGGCAATCTTCCGAGTGGCACACGACGGCGTCTCCTCGCCCATAAAAGGGAAGAATGAGCAAACTCAAAGTGAAAACGATGCTCATTGTTTTTTTTTGACATCAAAGGCATCGTCCACCATGAATTTGTTCCTCCTGGACAGACCGTCAACGCCAAGTTTTACGTGGAAGTGCTCAGGAGACACAAACGAAGGGTCAGTCGGGTGAAGAGCTACCTGACCAAGGCCGGCATCCCAACGCTTTCGCAGCCGCCTTACAGCCCATATGTGGCCTCCCGGACTTTTTTTTGTTTCCTTGCCTGGAAAGGCCGATGAAAGGCAAGCATTTTGAGACGACAGAGGGGATCCAAGCAGCACGCACCGCGGCTCTCAAAGCTATTCCGGAGAATGCCTTCCGTGACGCCTTCAATGCTTGGAAATCTCGCTGGCAGCGCTGCATCGACGCAGAAGGAGCCTATTTTGAAAGTTTTTAAAGAATTGTAACTATTGGCTCAATAATTTTTTTTAAATCGACTCAGTCCTATTACTTTCCGGACAAACCCTGTATATTAGGGTATTTAGTAATCGCTGTAGATGTAGTGTGGATGTTTGTTCAGTTCCTGAACAACTAAAAAATATTTGACTTTATGGATGTGTGGATATCAAAAAACCTTAATGGTTTTGTAGGAATATCAATATAAGGTGCTATAATGGTACTGATGAACGGCAAGTAAATGAATGAATGTTTGGAAACGAGCAATATCTATGAAATTTAGGTGCTTAATGGCTATCTGCAAGAGGTTTATAGGAAAAAAACATACGGTAGGTGATGTTGAAGCAGTAAAATCGCGTATGAATTGAACTAAATAATATAAACATGAATAAACAATCGACAATATTAAATAAAAACATGAATTTTATTCAAGAATCGATAACTTTTTTAAATTTTGACTAAATCATATGTAAGCTCTTGATATTCAATAAGCTATTCAATGAGAAGTTGTTATCTCATACTTTGACAGTATTTTGTTTTCAACATTTCATAGCTAACTATTATTAATTGTACGATGGATCCATACTTCTTTTCGATGCTTCTCATTTAAGTTTCTGAAGATTTCTAGACAAAGTAAGCGTATTGTTTTGAGGCGTTATAATTCTAAAAAAACTATGAATTTCAATTTTCAACGAAGTCATAGACTAAAAATTTTCGGGGCTCAACATTTTTTCGATTAAAGTGGGGAATTTTATTATCTGTGATATAGATTAGAATTTCATTATACAAAAATTGATATTTCTGTACAATCTAAAACGGTTCAATAATAACCATAGTAGAGAATGTTAAATTGGCTATTTAGGTATTAATGATAATTCACTTATATCATAAGGCTAACTTTCACGTAAAAGGAACTGTGCCGGCATGCAAGTGTATTGATTTTAATGTGATAAATGATTTGTAATAGCGTTTTACGTATAAGAATGCAATTAACTGTTTCAATAGATTTCGTCATAAATTGAAACGCGGAATTACTGGATGGATGTTTTTAAACATCCTAGTAAGAAAATCATCGATTGCAAATTTGGCAAGATAAAACATCTTATTGGCTTAAGTGGATTTTTTAGGAAATTTAGGAAAAAAAAAACACCAATTTTCATTCACAAAGCTCCCATGAAATGCGTACAAAAATTGTTCCAATCAAAATTAAATAGGAACCTCAAAATACATGATACGAGTATATGATAATAGACTAGGGTTTTCCATTAAGGACTTGACAACTTTCTTTTTGAATAAAACGCAAACCATTTGAGATGTCTCGAAAATTTTATTATTGGATCGAAGTATACTTAAAACA